AATAAAATGGTAACAACTAAAATACAATTCTAGCCCTGGCTGGTTTGGCTCAGCGGTTAGAGCGTCGGCCTGCGGTCCCGAGAGACCCAGGTTCGGTTCCCGCTAAGGGCATGTACCTCGGTTGCAGTTTGTCCCCGGCTCTGGTCAGTCGTGCGGGTGGCAGCCACTCGATGTGTCCCTCTCTCTCTCTGTTCCTCTCTCCCCCTCCTACTCTACCTGAACAAAAAATGGAAAAATGTCCTCGGGTGAGGATAAAAATAAATAAATAAATAAATAAATAAAAATAAAATAAAATACAATTCTACCTTTGTACTCTAATTAGAAAGTTTGAAACTTAAAATTGTAAAATAAATCTTACCGTATATCATCCACTCAAGGACACCATTACCTATATACAGATGAATCTCCACTGTATTCTAGGACTTGTCCCTACACAGAAAATTGCTTCAATAAACTTTAGTCTGAAGTAGAATGACCCATTTATTAGTTATGTGACATTCTCAAAATGGTGCCATAACTATGATTCATTAACACAGAGTCGGTTAAGGCATTAAAATGAAAACAATGAGTAGAATTTTGATACAGGGTACGCTCTTGGCCAAGGCTGCTCTTTATCTTTTTCCTATGACTATAGTCAAATCTTTTCCTATGGCTATATATTTAATAACAAAAAACAACATTGCCTCAAGCTGTAAGCATTTAGAAATACTTAGTTTGGCCTGGTTTTCATTTGGACCTAAAGACAGTTCCCTAGAGTAAATCACATGGACCCTAATAAACATGAAGACCCGCCCAGAATTTAGGCATGAGCTTTTCATCGCATGCCCTTGAAAGAAAGACACATGAATTTCTTGATGAGAAGGTCACATTTCTCTTTGACTCTTATCCAGAAAAATCATGAAGAAAATTGTTTTACTTAACCTGTTAAATGTTGTATTGGCCATAGTTTTTCAGAAAATAAATTTAATTTTTAAAAAAGCAAAATCCGCCCGTGTGGCTCAGTGGCTGAGCATCGACCCATGCACCGAGAAGTCACCGATTTGATTCCTGGTCAGAGCACATGCCTGGGTTGGGGGCAGCCAATCGATGTTCCCTCTCATCGATGTTTCTGTCTCTCTCTCTCTCCCTCTCCCTTTCTCTCTCTCTAAAATCAATAAAGAAAAAACAAACAAACAAAATAAAAAAGCAAAATTCATGGTCATGTATTCTGCAATGAGCATATGAGAGTACAGTTTTTGTATCTCCTTGGTGTTTCGCATCCACTTCTGCTGGAACCTGCAAACTATGTCACATGTCACCTCATCAGGGAGACAGCTATAGCACGAATGTCTGTGTTCCTCCCAAATTCATATAGCATTAAAATCCTAACTGCCCCCCAAGTTGATGGTATTAAGAGGTGGGGCCTTTGGGAAGTGATTAATTCATGAGGGCAGGGCCCTCATAAATGAGATTAGTGCCCTTATAAAAGTGGCCCAGAAAATTCGCTTGTCCCTCTCATCAGGTGATGTTCAAGTGGAAAGATGGCCACCTGGGACATGGGCCCTCAGCAGACACCGGCTGTCAGCGCCATGATCTTGGACATCCCGGCCTCCAGAACAGAAACAAAGAGGAATACATTTCTGTTATTTATAAGTCACCTAATCTATGGTATTTGTTATAGCAGCCCAAAGGCACAAAGACAGATGCCTACCCCAACCATTTCAATTTCCCAACCTCAACAATCTCTGTTACCCAGCTTTATTTTATCACAGCCTGACAAAGAATTGTTATTTGTTTATTGTCCATCTCCCATCACAGGGCCTGTGTTTCCTACTCACTGCTTTTTCTTTAGCACCTACACAGGGTCTGGCAGTAGATGCTCAAGAAGTATTTGTTGAATGAACTAAACGCGTGCATGAATGATAGGCACTCGATAGATTTGGGGGACACCTTCAGGAAATTCATAATCTAATAGGAGACACAGACACGTTAAAACTGCAATACAGCATGATAAATGTTATATCGGAATAGTATATTGGTGACCAAAATAAGGGGTAGTATGTTAGCGATAGTTTCACAGAGGAAGAGTTACTTTGCTGAGTCTTAAGGGATGCATAGGAATTTACCAAGTGGTTAAAGGGAACATGAAAAAGAAGCCTAGAAAAAGGGAACAGTATGTGCAGGGAAAGGAAATACCTCATGTCCTTAAGAAGTTTGACAAGCCCTGGTGGGTTTGGCTCAGCGGTTAGAGTGTCAGCCCACGGACCAGAGAGTCGTGGGTTCGATTCCGGTCAAGGGCAGTACTGCAGTTGCAGTTTGGTCACTGGCCCTGGCCACAGTCATGAGGGAGGCGACCAATCAATGTGTCTTTCTCACATCAATGTCTCTCTCCCTCCCTCTCCCTCTTTCTCTTTTTCTCCCCCTCCCTCTCCCTTTTTTTCTCCCTCTCCCTCTCCCTCTGTCTGAAAATAAAATGGAAAAATATCCTCGAGGGAGGATTTTTTTAAAAAAATGAAGTTCGACAAGACTGGAGCAGAGTGAAAGGGAGGAAACCCCAAACTATAAGAAAATCAGCAGAACAGTTTTCAGAGTCACTAAATCACACCAGCATCTGATTGATGGCCACCCTACTTTTCCTGGGGGAATTGACTTCATCCTCCAATAGCCTTCTCTTCAGTGCAGCTGTCTAAGCCTAAGGGCAATGAGGGACTAGCCTACAGGTGTTCTGTTTACTCTCTGCCAAGAAAAATCTCAAGAGTGTAACATGGTAATGCTGCAGTGCGAGGCTATCGTCTTGTTCTTTGTGTGGGAAGGCAGCAGCCTTTGACAGCTATCAATGCCGCTGCTTCCTTATTGACCAAGTTAAGGCAAAGAGGAGACATGGCATCCACAGGTCTTTGTCCAGGCTTGGGAAGCCTTTGTTGCAGCTGAGTTTGAAGACAGCTGTGTGGGTCAGCTTTCTTTTCAGAAGATATGAATACCCCTCCTTAGCAAACTGACTCTTTTTTGTTATTCATAAGACTGATTTTTAGTCGTGAGGAAAAAAAAAATCCTCTTCTTAACCATCTATTAACCATAAGAAGACATGAAATACAGTACAGGCGTGGAGGTAGGGCTTCTGGTCTGTGCCAGTAACTAGGAACACATTAAGATCAAATTAGGGAAGGAAGGTCATACCATGTTCCTTTAAGGAAGTGAACAGAAAAAATAGAGAACATCTCATTGAAGCTTTGGACATGCTTTTTTAAGTTAAACAATATTACGAATCCACATATCCACCTTTAACTATTAAGCTCTAGAAATTGTGATATCAAAACTTAGATTTGAAAAATGCACATCTTTATTGGGGTTATGTATGGGTTAATTTAATGTTCTTGAACTCAAGATGAGATTTGAATAAGGGACGAGGAGCTAAAGTTTGAGGGGGAAAGGAATTAGGAATATCATAAACTGCCCAGATTTTACATTTGTCAGTGAGGTCCAAGCCTGGCCGTGGCCTCCTGAGTTTTTCAGCATCTTAGCCATAAAAGCAAGTATGAAGTTTTACCACTGGCCAGAAAAATACTTGCAAATTCACCGGCAAATAGTTTTCCTTGTGAGGCTAAAAGAAAATATCCTAAGAGTATTTTTCTGCCTTCTTTAAAAATCCAAGTTACCCTCTTTAGTCCAAATCTTCATTTATTCAGAACAACTGGGGGTTAAATTTTGCTTAAGTCATACACTCCCCAAAACTTAATGCTCTGGTTCTTAGGAGAGTGAATCTAAAAATGTGATGAAATTCAAAGGAAGGGAACAGTGAGAAACAGCTGTTGACCAAATGAGCAAGGGCAGTGATGATATGAAAACAATAATGATGATATTACCTTGTATTTCAAAAGGATCTTTCTGCAAAAAGGCTCACGATATTGTACGGATAGGTATATTTCATCTGTTCTCCTTGGTGATCGACAAGAATTAGATTCATCTTTATTCATGTATATTTCCATAGCTATCCATAAATATTTTGGCTGTTTCTATTTGTTGCGTCTTTAACTGCAGCTAATTTCTTCGTTGAGCAATATCTGGAAATTGCATTGACTTTTCACTTTCTTCAAATGCATGGGGTGCTATTTTCTGCATCCTCTTCAACTTTCGTCATTAGCCTTTTGCTTTCGCTCTGTCTGTAGCTCCATGTTTTACTTGTCTGAATTCATGTTCATTTTGCTCTTCTAATCATCACAACTTGCCTACAAATTCTGTCCTGCAGTTTCATTTATCAGCATCAAATTTCATCCTCCTGCTATCATAACCTATGTAATTCTCTTTTTTATGGGATTATTTTAATGACTGTCATTCCATTTATATGGGTATGTAATTATTTTTTAAAGTTCTTGACCGAGCCCTGGCCGGTTTGGCTCAGTGGTTAGAGCGTAGGCCTGCAGTCTGGAGAGACCCAGGTTTGGTTCCCGCTAAGGGTACGTACCTCGGTTGCAATTTGTCCCCTGCCCTGGTTGGGTCGTGTGGGTGGCAACCACTCGATGTGTCCTTTTCACGTGGATGTTTCTCTCTTGCGCTCTCCCTCCCACTCTATCTGAACAAAATATCGAAAAAATGTCCTCGGGTGAGGATAAAAAATAAATAAATAAAATAAAAAAATAAATAAAAGTTCTTGACCGAGGTGCACATCAATCAGGTGTTCCTGATGTTTCTCTTCATTCTACATAACATAACTCATGGCCTGTATTTTCTCCCACTTTTCTGAACTTTCCAGTGCCATTTGACCAATAGTTTCACCACAAGTTTGTGCTGCTCCCCCACCAGGTAGGTAGCTCCATATATTCTTTCTGAACATCTCCTTAAATTCTTCTTCTTTACATAGCAAAAATCTTTCTCTGCAAACTCATTTTACTCTGAAGTGGTTTTTTTCTGATGAGTGATAGTTGAAATCAAAGATCTTCGAAGCAAAAGCTCCCTCCCCCCAATTTTTGATCTATCCCTTTGCCTTCAGGAAGACACATGTTCTCACTTCTCAGGCAGTGCAACTGAAGCCCAGAGAAGTGACTTGTTTAAGATCACACCTCTATTTAAGGACGCAGAAGCCAGGCTTCACCTCCCCAAGAGAGTTGCCGTGGGAGATTGGAGAAAGCAGTTGGCACCAGAGAACGGAAGTCTCTAAGTAAGTAAACTAAGTAACTGGTAATTGTGTGGAGAAGTTATTGGTGTTTGGATTCAAATATATATCACTTAAGGAATATAAATAAAGACCTTTGAAAAGCTAGGTAGTAATGAGAATTATACAAGAATGGGACTGTGTTCAAATATAGTCCAGTGATCTAATGTTCGGTCACCTAATGTTGCATACCAAAGCACCCCAAAACTTAGGAGAATAAAACAACAATATTGTGCTCACAAATCTGCATTCTGGATAGAGTTCTGCTGGGGTAGCTCTACTTCCTCCATGTTAGCTGGGATTACTCAAAGCCTGAGATGGAATCATCTGAAGGCTCATTCAATTTAGACACCTGGGGGACAGAACAGCAAGGGCTGCTGGGGCTCCTTGGACATCGCTCTCTATCTCTATGTGACTTTTCCACACAGACCCTTCAGCATGGCAGCTGCAGGGTCACTAGTCTTCTTACGTATCAGCTCATTGCTCCTAAGGCACATGGTTCGAGAAAGAGAGCAGGATGGAAGTCACACTACCTTTTATGACTTATCTCTGGAAGTCACACGGCATCCCTTTGGCCACATTCTCTTGGTCAAGACAGTTACAAAGGTGTTCCCAGATTTAAAAGGCAAAAACATAGACCCCACCTCTCCATAGAGGAGTGTCAACATCATATTGTAAGAAGAGTAGGTAGGATGAGATCTACATCAGAGTAGCTATCTTTGGAAAAGACACAACTAAAAACCACTGTATTACCAAACCAGTGAACCACAGATTTGAAAAAGACCTTGAAAAGTCCATCTATTTGTCATTAGCAAAAGTCATTCTGCAAGACACAGCTTAAACGTCCGTTCCTTTTGGAATCCTTCTTAGATGGCCCTCAGCTTCCATAGCCCTTGGTAAATATGCCCACTCTCTCACTCCATGTATTCTACTGTAATGATTCCTATAACATGATTGCAATCAGGCAGGTACTATCAACTTGTCAGTTAGCCAAACTTGTTTTCCTGATCAATTAATATGGCAAAGGAAACGTCACAAAGGAAAGTCTTCAGATTGATAGGGAAGACACATTTCTAGGGGAGCCAGAAGTGACATTGCACAGAAAACAGAGAGCGGAGAAAAAAAGCATCAGCAATTCAGAGAAGAAAAACTGACATCACACAAAGAAAAAAATTATATATATATACAAGTATATACTTTCCCCCTACATTAAAGGTACAAGGCACAAGCAATAAACGTCAAAATATCCTCTCGTCAAACTGCTGAGATGGAAGCGTTTCCTAACGCAGTGGTTCTCCAACCTCCCCTGCACCAGACTCACCTGGAGAGTCTGTTGAACCACACGCCCCTCTCTGAGTTTCTGCCTCAGCAGGTCTGGGCGGGGCCTGAACCTGCATTTCTCAGGGTTGCCAGACCATGCTATTGCTGGTGGTCTGGTACCGGGCTCTAAAATCCACTAGCCTAGCCCAGCGGTGTGGCTCAGTGCCCATGGGCTGAGAGGTCCCCAATACAACCAGGTCAGGGCACATGCCCAGGTTGCGGGCCCCATCCCCAGTAGGGGGTGTGCAGGAGGCAGCTGATCCATGTTTCTCTCTCGCATGGATGTTTCTCTCTCTCTTCCTCTCTCTAAAACAATCTATTGCGCTGGCCGGTTTGGCTCAGTGGTTGGAGCATCCACCTGTGGACCAGAGAGTCCCAGGTTCGGTTCCACCAAGGGCGGGTACCTCGGTTGCGGTTTGTCCCTGGCCCCGGTTGGGGTTGTGTGGGTGGCGGCCACTTGATGTGTCTCTCTCACATCCATGTTTCTCTTTCTCTCTTCCTCCCTCTCTCCCTCCCAGTCTATCTGATGATAAATGCAAAAATGTCCTCGGGTGAGGATTTAAAAAAGAACTATTAAAACATTTTTTAAAAAAGAAATAAAAACACTACCCTCGTGGAAGAGGGCATAGAGGGGATAAATGGTGATGAAAAATTAAAATTAATTTTTTAAACAGCTAGCCTAAAGGTTTGTAAACCTGGAAGTAGTGGCCATAGCTGAAGGCCCTGCAAACATGAAGGAACCAGAAGGACTCAATTTTAAGTGGCCTGATTTTTTCTTTGTTTTGTTTTTATTGATTTTTTTTATAGAGAGAGGAAAGGAGAGGCAGAAACATGGATGTGAGAGAAACATCTACGGGCTGTGAAGTAGCCTGATTTTAACAGAGCCTATTTCTCTGTGTGCTCCCCGACAGCCCAGGACATCCTCTGGGGACTGCGCCCAGCGGGAGGACAGACGCCGCCACGTCCTCTCGGAGCGGTGGCGAGGCGCCCCCTGCCGACCATCTCTGAGTGGTGTCAACCCGGACTGCACAAACGTGCCGGCCGAGGTGGGCGGGGCTTACCCCGACAAGCTTCTCACTGCGTCCTTACTGGAGGTTAGGAAAACCGAGACGCAAGTTTCCACCCCCTGGGGCGGGGCCACCGGGCCGCCGGGCCGTGATTGGTCAGTGCCGTTCCCGTGAGCGGTGACGTTGTGCCTGGAGGGACGAGTCTAAGAGGAGCGCGGGAACTGAGCAGTGGAGGGTCCGGTAAGGTTAGGAAAGGCCCAGAGAAGATTGTTCCGGTGCCAGGTGCTCCCTAGCAGAGCCGGGTCTGCTTGCCCACGAGCTTCCCGTCCTAGCCGCTGACTGCCCGTCAGGTGCCCAGGTGAGCATCCGAGTGGGACCTCTGTGTGTGTGTTGGGGGAGGGGGTTTCTCTGTGCTCTCGGCACCAGATAGGAGAGGAGCGAGAGGAATATATATGCTCGCAGTTTCCCTGAGGCTCCGGGGACTTCCTGTTGCCTCCACCCGCCTTCTCAAGCCTTTAGAATCACTGGTTTGATGTTGCTGGGCTTTGCGACTCTAGGAAATTAGACATTGATTAGTCCTCCCAACAATTTTAAGTGCCGGCTGTGAGATGAACACTGTTCTAAGCTCAAGGACCACACAGGTAATTATGCCCCCAGTACTTAGAAGTGCAGGGCACAGGGCAGATGCGTGATTCATATTCGAACTGAAGCGACCACAGCCACTAAGGAGAGGATATCGACAAATAATCATCACATGGTGTGATAGGTTCTCAATTCCAGATGTATGTGGAAACACTTACAAGGGGTGACCTCTTTGGGAAACTGATACCTGTGTTAAGGAAGAGGCAAAGAATTGAAAAAGCAAAGCCTATGAATTCTCTAGCCACTGGCAGTGAGCCTCTACAACCCCAGTTGTAGATACCTACTTGCCTGTTCTTGCAAATAAGTGGAAAACGTAGAAGAGTATTGGTTCTGTTATTCTCAGTAGGTTCCAGGTTTCAGAGAAGATGGCAGAGGAGGAACTGAATCTCCCGGGACAGGACTCTGATGCGGGTAGTGAGGAGGTGGTCCTAACTCCTGCAGAGCTCATTGAAAGGCTGGAGCAGGTAAGCTTCCCAAATAGAATCCCCTTGCTCCAATCTTAGCCTTTTTATTTAGTCCAGCTGTGCAAATGTCAGGAATCAGGAAGTGAAGAAATGGAATTCAAAGCTTATTTCAAGAGAAGAGGGACTGGATCTTACCATCTACACAGAAATAAAAAGTAGGGGGGGTCAGCCTCTGTTAGAGACCTCATTGTGCCAAATACAAAATCCTCAAGTGGGGCCAGGAAGTGACAGCTTTGGCAACATTCACTAGAACAGTTCACAGAGCAAGAATTTGCTACTTGGCATTTGCAGGGACTACAGAGGTGTTGTGGTGACTTGTAAATTTTATGCCTTAGTCCCTTCAAACATCTGTTGGTTCCCTGTAGAATGCCTGGCTTAGGAAAGTGCTGAAACACCTTTTTTTTTTTTTTTAGAAGAAAACAGGTCTTTTTTTCCTTCCCATATACTTTTTCTTTTGCAACTCTTCTCTAAATTTCCACTGCTTATCTAAAATCATTTCAAGGCTCTCTCTCCTTTTAGTTATAATAGCTACGGTTGGATTATTTCCTCTGTACCAGTCTGTTATTTACAATTATTGTCTCGTGAACCTATAGTAGTTAGGAGTTCAGACTATCTGTATTTAAATCCCTCTGTGCTACTCAGCCAGTGTGGTTCAGTGGTTGAGCATCAACCTATGCACTAAGAGGTCGCCGGTTCGATTCCCGGGCAGGACACATGCCCAGGTTGTGGTCCCAATCCCCAGTGGGGGGCATGCAGGAGGCGGCCAGTGGATGTTCTCTCTCATCGATGTTTCTATCTCTCTTCCCTCTCACTTCCTTTCTCTCTCTAAAAATCAATAAAGAAAAAGATTTTTTTTTTAATAAATAAATCCCTCCATGCTGCTAGCCTTATTCTGTGACCTTAGACAAGTTACACAGCTTGTCTCAAGCACTTTCTTGAAGGTGTAATGGAGTTAATAATAGTGGCTACCTCACCGAATTGTTGTGGGGATTAAATGAGGTAATACATATATATTAAGTGCTTAGCATATCTGACACATAATGAGCACTCACTGAATGTTAGCTGTGAGTAGTAATAATTCTTACAACAACTCAATGAGGCAGATATTGCTGATAACTCCATTTTATAGATGAGGAAACTGAAACTTAAGATGTAAAGTAACTTGCCCAAGGTCACACAGTGGCAGCAAAGCCAGGAAATGAACCAGGTTTCTTTGACCACAAAATGCATGCTCTTAATCCACTATACCTGCTGCCTTATTCTTGTCTACTCCCTTTAACTGCCCCTTTCCAGAACTCACTCATGTTTGTCACTTCAGTATTCTTCATTCTTTCCTTCCATATGTGCCATCCTGAGTGACAAAACCAAAGGGACATAGCTTTAAAATTATATCTTATATGCTAATCCATACTGTATAGCAGTGATTCTTTTTTTTTTTTTTTTTATCCTCACCCGAGGACACTTTTTCATTCTTTGTTCAGATAGAGCAGGAGGGAGAGAGAGAGAGAGAGAGAGAGAAACATCGATGTGAAAGGGACACATCGAGTGGCTGCCACCCGCACGACCAACCAGGGCCGGGGACAAACTGCAACCAAGGTACATGCCCTTAGCGGGAACCGAACCCAGGTCTCTCCGGACCGCAGGCCGACGCTCTAACCGCTGAGCCAAACCGGCCAGGGCTAGCAGTGATTCTTAATTTGATTTTATATCACATACCTTTTTGAAAATCCAGTGAAAACTCTGGCTCTTCTTCCCTAAATAATACATAGATATACCCATGTAGAATTTTGCATTTAATTTCAGGAGATTTACAGACACCCTGAAATCTGCCCGCCTAGTTTGCAGAACCCAGGTTAAGAGCCTCTGCTTTATTAGGAAAGGATTCATTGAACAAAAATTAAAAAACACAGACCACAAAGGAAAAATTGATATATTCAACTACGTTAAAAGTAAGAACTCTGTTTTTACACCTTGATGAGAGTAAAAAGACATGTCACAAAACTGGGAGAAAAGATTTGCAGCATATATAACTGACAAAAAATTCGTATCCGCAATACGTAAACAAACTGACCAGAAGAAAAATGAAGTCTTTTTTTTTTTTTTCCCCCAATCCTTACCCGAGGATATTTTTCCATTTATCTTCAGATAGAGTGGGAGGGAGAGACAGACAGACAGAGAAACATCTTTGTGAGAGAGACACATCGATTGGTTGCCTCCTGCATGACCCTGACCAGAGCTGGGTACCGAACCACAACCAAGGTACATGCTCTTGACCAGAATTGAACCTGTGACTCTGTGGTCCACGGGCCAACTCTTTAAGTGCCGAGCCAAACCAGCCAGGGCAGGAAAACGAAGTCTTAACGGGCATCTCCCAGAAGCAGAAACCAGGATGGCCGACCATTATATAAAAAGATGTTCAACCTTTTTAGTAGTCAGAAAAATTAAAATTTAAATCCCAATGAAATATCACTTTATACTCATCATTTGGCAGAAATGAAAGAAGTGAACAATGTAAAGTATTGGGAAGGATCTAAAGCAGTTTGCACACTTGTATACTGCAGGGAACATGGAAATTGATACAGTCATATTGGAAAATAATGTGTTATTGTCTAGTCCAGTTGAAGGCACACATATCTTGTGGCCCAATCATTCTACTTCCTCATATGTACCCTAGAGAAAACTTTCATGTGCACTCCAGGACATATGCACAAAATGTTCATAGCATTGCTTGCAATAGTTAAAAATTGCAAGTAGATATCCTTCAACAATAGAATGCATAAAAAATTATGGCATACACCCAATGAGAAAAAAACGATAAAACAAATAAAAGTTAATTCCTGCAACAGCATGGATAACTCTCAGGAACATAATGTAGAACAACAAAATTAAGTTGCTGAAGAAACTATATTAACACATGCAAAACTCTTGTTGAAGGAAGAGCTTGCCAGCTTGGGTGATGTGGCTGGCACACACTGGTGTGCTGCAGATGCCTGAGTGACCTTGACCCTTCACCTTCTGGAGTAGCGAGAGCCCCCAGGCTGGTTGCCTCCTGTGGGTATCGTCAGGGTCCCCTTGGAAGGCAGCCTGAGGATAGTGGCATCTGATGGCACAGCCTCAGCTTAGCAGTGAGCATGAGTTGCACCTCTGGCCTAGTGCTCTCTTGAAATGCCCTGAATGCAGCCAAGGAGTTGGCCTGCTACCTGCACAGCTGTTGCAACTGGACACAGACTTGAACTGCATAACATGGCCTAAGGAGCAATCCGACAAGGGCCACTGATAAACACAGTTCCAGGAGTATATATGGGATATTCTTGAATGTCTGTAAAAAAAGACTTAAAACTGCCCTGGCCAATTTGGCACAGCAGTTAGAGCATCGGCCTGCGGTCTGGAGAGACCCGGGTTCGGTTCCCGCTAAGGGCACGTACCTCGGTTGCAGTTTGTCCCCGGCCCCTGTTGGGGTCATGTGGGTGGCAACCACTTGATGTGTCCCTTTCACGTTGATGTTTCTCTCTCTCCCTCCCTCCCACTCTATCTGAACAAAATATCAAAAAAATGTCCTCCGGTGAGGATAAAAAAAAAAAAGACTTAAAACTTACTACCTACAGTGCATAGTTTCTCATTTTAATGTTTGTATTAGTTTGCTAAGACTGCATATCAAAGTACCAAAGACTGGGTGGCTTAAAGAACAGAAATTTCTCAACTCTGGAGGCTGGAAGTCTAAAATCAAGGGGCTGGTGCAGTTGGTTTCTTCTGAGGTCTGCCTCCTGGGCTTGTAGATGGTCATCTTCTCCACGTGTCTTCACATGGTTTTCCCTCTGTGTGTGTGTTCAAATTTACCCCTCTTAAAAGGACACCAGTCATACTGGATCAGGGTCCACCTAAATGACCTCATTTCAACTTAATTACGTCTTTAAAGACCCAGTCTCCAAATACAGTTGCATTCTAAGGTACTAGGAGTTAGGACTTCAACATAGGAATGAGGGATGGAGGGAAACACACCTTAGCCCACAACATGATGAACAAATTGTCATTAAAAATTTTGATCATGGACTGGGTAACTCGGTTAGTTAGAGAGTTGACCCGATACACCAAGGTTGCAGGTTTACTCTCCAGTCAGGGTACATAAAAGAATCAGCCAATAATGCATAAATAAGTGGAACAATAAATCAATGTTTCTCTCTCTCTCTCTCTCTCTGTGCGCGCGCTCTCTCCCTCCTCCCCTTCCTCTCTAAAATCAATAAATTAATTTTAAAATTAAAAAAAACTTTTTTTATTAGGAACCAGATGTAGCCATTTTAAACAGAGAACATTATTTTTTAAAAGACCACGGATTTGCCTTGGCTGTTTTGCTCAGTGGTTAAAGCATCAGCCTGTGGATCGAAGGGTTGCAGGTTTGATTTCCAGTCAAAGGTATGCCTGGGTTGCAGGTTCAATCCCCAGCCCTGGTATGGGTCCTGTGGGAGGCAACTAGTTGATGTGTGTCTCTCTCACATTGATGTTTCTCTCTCTCTCCCCCCTCTCTATTCCTCCCTCTTTTCTATTCTATCTAAAAGATCAATGGAAATATATCCTTGGGTGAGGATTAACTAAAAAAAGACCATGGATTTAAACACAGTTTTCTCTCTAGAATTTTTAAAAAGATTTTATTGTAAAGTTTTATACTAATCTGTTTCCCCCTGTTTTATATTTTATTATAATTTTATAATATAAATGGTAAACCCCCCCAAATCTACTCCATTTTACCCTAGTGTGCCATGCAAGTTGTGTCATTTTCTTTGAATGTCCTGTCACATAAAGGTTGGAAAGCACTATGTGGAGAGAAGAACAAATGTAGTGAAACTACAGAAAATTAAAATGTTTGTTTTTGTTTTTTTAAATTAATTTTAGAGATGGGAAGGGAGAGGGAGAGAGAAAAACATTGATGAGAGAGAACCATCAGTGGATCGGCTGTCTCACACACATCCCACACTGGGGATCAAGCCTGCAACCTGGGCATGTGCCCCAACCAGAAACTGAGCTAGCAACCTCTCAGTGCACAGCCCGACCAACTGAACCACATGGGCCAGGGCAAAACTACAGAAAATTTAACATTAAATTAAAGCTAATGATTACCTCTGAGGAGATAGGGACACATAGAGACTTTTAAAATATTGATATTATTGCCCTGGCCGGTTTGGCTTGGCAGTTAGAGCATCAGCCTGCAGATCAAAGAGTCTCGGGTTTGATTCTGGTCAAGGGCTCATACATCGGTTGCAGTTCAGTCCCCTTCCCTGGTCAAGGTCATGCAGGAGGTAACCAATCAATGTCTCTCTCACATTGATGTTTCTCTCTTTGTGTCTCTCTCTCTCCTTCCCTTCCACTGTCTCTAAAAATCAATGGAAAAAATATCCTCAGGAGAGGATTAACCAAAATAAAAAAATATATAAAATATTAATACTAATTGTTAATAAAGTTATATGTACACAGATATTTATATCACTGTCCTTCATGTTCATATGTATTTTATAAGTATGTTTGTACTTACTAATTTAATTTTTTTTAAATCCTCACCATTTATCTTCAGTCAGAGTGGGAGGGAGGGAGAGAGAGAAACATCGATGTGAGAGACATCTTGCCTCCCACAGGACCCAGACCAGGGCCGGGACCAAACCACAGCTGAGTTATGTGCCCTTGACCAGAATCGAACCCACAACTCTTCAGTCCGCAGGCCGACACTCTAACTGCTGAGCCAAACTGGCCAGGGCTGTACTTACTAATATTTAATAAAATCAGTTAAAATGAAAAACTGCTTTGTAAGTTCTCTGTGACAGTGTGCTCTTCTCATTCATTATGTGTCTTGAAAATGCAGGTTGTCTTTCTGGTTAATTTCTGCAACACTAGTACAGGAACTTGAGCACCTGAAAAAAATTTATGATAGTCCAGTACTTAATAATGTGTCTTGATGGTGATAATTGGAGAAGAAGAGACTGAATGACTTCAGAAGGAATACATTGAGCTTAATTGGCCTGTAATTCAGATCTGTTAAAACTAAGTTTCCTATAACTGAAAGATGGCTATACTTTTCCTCAATCAGCTGTGGATATTTCACTTTTCTAAGCCTTGGTAATTTCTGAAATGTACCATGCATCTGGGCCTGAGTCATAAATTAGGGACTTAAACTCTTGTTCCAACTCTGTTTAATAGATGAATATCCACTTCTATTGCGATGCTTTATACTCTTGGGCAGTTAGTAAATAATTTGTGTTTTCTCATCGATGAGATGAGAATAACTATATATTCATTTCCTCTCAGATGTTCTGATGATGGATGAAAAAGTATTTGCAAAGTACTCTGAGCTTCAGGAATAAAGAGATGTATAGATTTATGTGGTGTTACTTCATCTCCCCAAATAGAAAGGTGCTGGTGCCCCCTGGTGGAAATAGCAGGTGAAGAAAATGTGTTGATGCTCCTTGGTGGAAGATATGTTTGAACACCAGGTGGTGTTATTCTTAGCAATAAGTATTCTGACCACACTTTTGAAGTGAACGGTGATTTTTTTTGTAATGGTTAAATATAAGGTTATAAACACAATTTCCTACTAAAAGAAGTGGAAAAGCTATTATTAAACAGCTTGCCTTCAACACATTTTTAGTATTTCCAACTGGTAGGCAGTTTTCTTTGCCTCAGACAACCGTGATTTTCATGGGCTTTGTACTGACTTACAGAGTTGTTTTGCTCCGTTATGAGTGGGGTGTTTGTGTGTATATGTACTTTTTTGGGGGCATTGTTTTTTAGGCTTGGATGAATGAAAAGTTTGCTCCTGACCTCCTGGAAAGCAAGCCTGAAATTGTAGAATGTGTCATGGAACAGCTAGACCACATGGTAAGAGTTGCTTATCCCAGGGTTACAAAAGAAGAGAAAGGGTTCGCCACTATAGCAAATCCATTTTGTTGGTCCAACCTAGTTTGTTTTTTAAATATTGAATTAGTTATCTATATTTACAAAGCATGAGAGTACCTGTGAATATCTTGACATTAGCTCTCCATGAAACGTTTAAAAACCTGTCCTCACCAGCCTCACATTTGTATATAAGAACATCTGACCAAAGCAAGGTCAGGGCCTCCCCTTTTCAGTGTGCTGTCCAGTTCCCCATAGTCTCTAACTACTCACCTTTCTCATATATCTTACCTGTCTGGTCCTGGTAGACATTTGAGTTTGTGGCCCTAATCTTAGATAAGCTTGGCATAAGTGTTTATCAACCTCAGAGTAGCTTTAAAACATTGATATTTTAGCCTGTCCTGTGTGGTTCAGTGGATTGAGCATCGTCCCATGTACTGAGAGGTCCCGGTTCGATTCCTGGTCAGGGTGCATACCCAGATTGCAAACTCGATCCCCAGTAGGGGGCGTGCAGGAGGCAGCTGATCCATGTTTCTCTCATTGATGTTTCTATCTATGTCTGCCTTCCTCTTTCTCTAAAAAATCAATAAAAACATATTTTTAAAAAAATAAAATAAAACATTGTTTTATAGTTTTTCAGCTGCTATTTTAACACTACTTTTTAGACCCTTTAGAGATTTCTTCTGTATGCTGTATTATCTCCATTACAGTTGGGTTGGAGTTCTTGTAGGCTCTTCTGACCAATCATATTCATATTCTACTTAAGTGGTCATGTTCTAGTACAGGCATACCCCATTGTATTGCATTGCACTTCACTTTATTACACTTCACAGATGTTGCATTTTTCTTTTTTCTTTTTTATAAATTGAAGGCAAGACCCTCCACCAGTAAAAATAGCGTAACCCACTTTATTGCCGTGATCTGAGACAAAACCCACCATATATCTGAGGTACATGTAAATGAGTATTGTTTGAACATGATATAAGACTAGTCATATATTATTTATGTAATTAAGAAATTATAAGAAGATGAGAACTCTTATGAATATTTTGTTTTCCTTTGAGCTAAATGTAGCGTTTGAGTCCTCAACATTGCCAATGCTAGGCAATGGTCCTTGTGGGCTGTGTATAGATTAAACAAAGAAGGTTCTTAGTCTTTGAATATTATGTTTTTTTATAAACTTTTTTTTTTCCCTTTCAATAGGAAGAAAATCTCAGGAGAGCAAAGAAGGGGGATCTGAAGATCAGTATCCATCGAATGGAGATGGAGAGGATCCGCTATGTCCTTAGCAGCTACTTGCGATGTCGACTCATGAAGGTCTGTCATGGAGATACCTGTAGGTGTTAAGGCAATGCAGTCTATAATACAGACTGAGCACCGTGGGCAGAAGTTAGGCTGGGCCTGGGAGGGTCTAGGCCCGGAAGATGGTGCTGAGACACAATATCAGGGTAGCTAAAGAGTAAGGAAGGCAAGAGATTATTCTGGAGCATAGGTGGAATATGTGTTGCACACCTCTAAGGGCACATTTTTAGGCAACTTACTTGCTGTGTGAATGGTGCCTCCTGGAGTTACAGTCTGGCGGTGCTGCCTCGACATTCAACTATAGCTCTGTGGCCATCTAACTTATAAAAATGAAATTGCAAAATGTTCTTATTTTGTATTATATATTTTTTTGTTATTAATCCTCATCCAAGGATATATTTTTCTATTGATTTTTATTATTTTTATTTATTTATTTTTTTTTTAATCCTCACCTGAGGACATTTTTCCATTTTTTGTTCAGACAGAGTGGGAAGGAGAGAGAGGAAGAGAGAGAGAGAGAGAGAGAGAAATATCGACGTGAAAGGGACACATTGAGTGGCCGCCACCCGCACGACCAACCAGGGCCAGGGACAAACTGCAACCGAGGCATGTGCCCTCCGTGGGAACTGAACCCGGGTGTCTCTGCACCGCAGGCCGACGCTCCAACCGCTGAGCCAAACCGGCCAGGGCTATTTTTCTATTGATTTTTAGAGAAAGTGGAAGGGAATAATGTAGGCGGAGAGAGACAGAGAGACATTGATGTGAGAGAGACACATTGATTGGTTGCCTTCTGCATGCACCCAACCAGGGCTGGGGATTGAACCTACCGCCCAGGTATGTGCCCTTTACTGGGAATTGAACCCACAACCCTCAGTTGGTTGGCGCTCTAACCACTGAGTCACACTGACCAGGGCAAACGATATCTATTGTAACCCTGGAAAGTTCTTACTTCCTTGAAATTTCTTCTCACTGGCTCTGCTTGCCCCTTAGTTATTACAAAACAAATACATTCTCCTATGTAGGAATGATTTAGATGTCTCAAGACAGCTCACGAGTCTCATCGGAACCATCTTAGCTAAACATTTTAACCATTTCTTTCCATTTACTCTGCTGGTCTCTTCCTTACAAAGTTCTAGTCTGAATACAGTATTCTAGTTGTAGCTTGGTTATGTTTGTGAAAAGCAGGATGATTATTTCCCTTGTTCTGGATGTTAAAATGGTAGTATTAATACCTTGTATTACATTAGCATGTTTGACAGACACATCGCGCTAAGCTCATATGCACTCATTGTTAACTTTAACCTTATCTGAAGTTTTTAAGCTATCATTACCCCTTCCTGCCACTGTCTGGTATTTGCATGACTGGATTTTGGACTCCTAAGTGTAGAGCTTGATACTTATTCCTCTTAAGCTTTATCTTGTTAAATTGAGCCATTTCCCTGGTCTCTGGATCCTGATCTTGTTACCTAATACATTAGCTCTCTCTTAACACCGTCATCAGCAAGTTTGATAAGTATGTCATCAAAGGTCTTACCTGACTCCTTAATAGTTCTGGGCCAATGATAGAATATTCCACCAGAGACTTCCCTACAGATTGATATCTGTCCGTTGAATCAGTATTCTTTTTTTTTTTTTTATCCTCACCCGAGGATATTTTTCTATTTATCTTCAGGTAGAGTAGGAGGGAGGGAGAGACAGAAACATTGATGTTAAAGAGAAACAACAACTGGTTGCCTCCCATACAACCCCAATCAGGCCTGGGGATGAACTGCAACTGAGGTATGTACCCTTGACCGGAATCGAACCCGCAACTCATTGGTGTGTGGGCTGACACTCTAACTGCTGAGCAAGCTGGGCTGAATCAGTATTCTTTGTTCAACTGTTTATGAATCTCCCACTCTAGGCTGTCACCCAGCCGCAGGTTGACAGTTTATCCCCAAAGGTGTCATAAAGACATCATGTTTTGGAAATATTGAGACATACAGTATGCCTCTTCACTCCACCCTCAACTACCAGGCCACTCTCTTTTCTGTTGTTGTTTTTTGGATAAATTCTATTTTTAACTACTTACTCTTCTTTGAATTCACAAACCATCTTTTATTTTATTTTTTAATCTTTATCGTTGAATGTATTACAGATGTTTCTTATTTTTCCCCCATTGACCCCCCCTCCCCTTCCCGCCCCCCTCCCGCCTTTTCCCACACTATTGTCTGTGTCCATTGGTTATGCATATAAGTTCTTTGGTTTATTTCTTCCCACCCCCCAACCCCCTTCCCTTTCAGGTTTGTCAGTCTAGCAACCAATTTGTACTTCTTAATCCCTTCACCTTTTTCACCCATTCCCCCAACCCCCCTCCCATCTGACAACCAACAAAATGTTCTCTGTATCTATGAGAATGTTTCTGTTCTACTTGTTCATTTTGTTTGTAGATTCCATTGTTGATAGATATGTATTCATTGCCATTTTGTTTGTTCATATAGTTTATCTTTTTCTTCAAAAAGACCCTTCAACATTTTATATAATAATGGTTTGGTGGTGATGAACCCCTTTAACTTTTTTTTATCTGGGAAAGTTTTTATATGGCCATCGATTCTAAATGACAGCTTTGCAGGATAGGCTAATCTTGGTTGTAGGTTCTTGCTTTTCATCACTCTGAATATTTCTTGCCACTCCCTTCTGGCCTGCAAAGTTCTTTTGAAAAATCAGCTGACAGCCTTATGGGAACTCCCTTGTAGATAACTAACTGCTTTTTTCTTGCTGCTTTTAAGATTCTCTCTTTGTCTTGAACCTTTTGCATTTTGATGATGATGTGTCTTGGTGTGGGCCTCTTGGGGTTCATCTTGTTTGGGACTCTCTGTGCTTCCTGGACGTGTATGTCTGTTTCCTTCACCAAGTTAGGGAAGTTTTCTGCCATTATTGTTTCAGATATGTTTTCAATTTCTTGTTCTCTCTCTTCTCCTTCTGGCACCCCCAAGATGCGAATGTTGGTACGCTCGAAATTGTCCCAGAGGCTCCTTACACTCTCCTCACTTTTTTGGATTCTTTTTTCTTTTTGCTGTTCTGATTGGGTGTTTTTTGCTTCCTTATATTCCAAATCAATGGTTTGCTTCTTAGATTTACCTGCTCTACTATTGAATCTGTGTAAATTATTCTTTATTTCAGTTAGTGCCTCCTTCATTTCTGACTGATCCTTTTTTATGCTTTTGAGGCCCTCACTAAGTTCGCTGAGGTTCTCACTAAGTTCACTGAGCATCTTTATAAGCAGTATTTTGAACTCAGCATCTGTTAGGTTGCTTGTCTCCATTTCGCTTAGTTCTTTTCCTGGGGTTTTCTGTTCTTTCATTTGGGACCTGTTTCTTTGTCTCCTCATTTTGACTGCCTCCCTGTATTTGTTTCTATGTATTACCTAATGAGAGGTATGGGCTATCTGAGACCAGATGCTACTTGTTTGAAAGAATTTAGGAAAACCTGAAACAGGATCCAAGACAGGCCAATCCTATGGTTAAGCAACTGGCAACAGCTTGGGTGGGCTTGAAAGTTGGGTGGGCTTGAAAGTTGGGTGGGGCGGGGCGGGGCCTCAGGGAGTCACCAGGGCGGGGCTGCCAGTGTGAGCCAGGTTGCTGGAGTCCCAGGTATGGCTTCTGTCTGCCGCCCCAGGGAAGGGCTCACCAAAGGAACAAAGGCCTCTGACAGCACCGGAGAAAGCCCCCTCTCCAGCCCTCGCTCCAGTGCCAAACAGCTCAGTTCTTCCCTGTGTGTCTCTGGTGCCCCTCGAGCTGCCTCCCCTCCAAGCTTAGAGGGAGAGAGTCCGATAAGTCCGTGCGCCGGCCCTTTAAGGAGCTGCCTGGGGTTCCAGCTGCCTCAGCCTCCCTAGGCCTCAGTTCCCACTGGTTTTTCCAGCCAGAAGTGATGGGGATTCTCTTCCTGGCACTGCAACCCTGAGCGGGGCACCTGGTGTGGGACGGGGACCCCTCAGTCCTCAGGGAGGATCTTCCCAGCCAAGGTAGCCTCCTGATTTTTTTTTTTTTAATCTTCACCCGAGGACATTTTTCCATTTCTTGTTCATATAGAGTGGGAGGAAGAGAGAAAGAGAGAGAGAGAGAGAGAGAAACATCGACGTGAAAGGGACACATTGAGTGGTTGCCACCCGCACAACCCAACCAGGGCCGGGGACAAACTGCAACCGCAGTACATGCCCTTAGCGGGAACCGAACCCGGGTCTCTGGACCACAGGCAGATGCTCCAACCGCTGAGCCAAACCAGCCGGGGCTGCATCCTGATTTTTATTCGCCACACATGGGTGTGGGACCAACCTGTCCATCTCCGCCCCTCCTACCAGTCTCAATGTGGCTGCTTCTTTAATTCCATAGTTGTAGGACTTCCATTCAGCTAGATTTCAGGCGGTTTTGAATGATGGTTGTTCTGTAGTTCAGTTGTAACTTTGCTGTCGTTGTGGGAGGACGTGATACCGCGTTTACCTACGCCGCCATCTTGACCGGAAGTCCCACAAACCATCTTTTAAATTATCTCTTCTAATACAATGCCACACATCAATGATAAGGATACTAATCTAAGTGTGATTTCCTTCGGTATTTTTGAAACTTGGGAAATTTGCCTAGCTCTAATCTTTCACACCTCTTGTTTTTTTTTTTTTGTTTTTTTTTTTTTATCCTCACCCGAGGATATTTTTCCATTTTTTGTACAGATAGAGTGGGAGGGAGAGAGAGGAAGGGAGAGAGAGTGAGAAACATCGACGTGAAGGGACACATCGAGTGGCTGCCACCCGCACGACCAACCAGGGCCGGGGACAAATTGCAACCGAAGTACGTGCCCTTAGCAGGAACCGAACCCGGGTCTCTCCGGACCGCAGGCCGACGCTCTAACTGCTGAGCCAAACTGGCCAGGGCTTTCACACCTCTTTTGAAGGAATTATCTTTTTCTAGAGAGAGAAACATTGATGTGAGAGAGGCACATCAAGTGGCTGCCACCCACATGACCCCAAACCCGCTAGGGCTTGAAGGAATTCATCTGAGATTAGGAAACTAGTACATGCATTTTTAGTACGCTGAGAGACACAGTAATAGTAGCAGTTTTCATATAACAGGAGAACATGCTTTGTGTACTTAACCCTCATATAAATGTTCATTTAATTTATCCTGGAACATAATTGATCCAAGGCAAAGAACTTAAACTCCTTTAAATAAATAACTGCTCCTTTATCTTGACCTTCAGTTCCTCCTGACCAATGTCATTCCCCTGCTTACATCATTGACTTCAGGCCGTAGACTGGTCCCTGCCAGTTTCCTAGCCACACACCTTTCTGTATTTTGTAGGTTTTAGCTTTTTATTTTCTTACAGTTCTTAGCATTTTTCCAGGCCTCACCTCATTGTCGGCTTTGTGCTTGCTGTTTATATTCTTATAATTAAGTGTCACTATTCTGTCTGCTTTTGTATTCTGTAGGTATCTTTCCAGCTGTTGTATATGTTTCATCTCATAAAAGAACACCCCGTACAGTTACATACACATGTTCTGTAATCTCCCCTTCTCTTCCTCTTAAATATCATTTACAATTACATTTTCAGATTATCTTTTATAAAAGTGTCTAATTTATTTTAAAACCCTTATCTTTTCTCTGAATTCTTTGAAACCTCCCTTCTTGAAGACTAGAGTACGGGTCTTATTATTAAAAACAGTCTTGACCATGGAGACTTGCCATTGTTGAAGTCAATTTCTTTATTAACCTCAACCTATTTCAGAAAACTAGTATGTTTGACACTTGAGCCTTGACAGATGTTTTCACGATGATTTTTATTTATCTTCACAGATAGAGAAGTTTTTTCCTCACATTCTTGAAAAGGAGAAAACTCGCCATGAGGAGGAGCCTTCTATCCTTTCTCCAGGAGAGTTTGTCTTTGCCAAAGAGTGAGTCAGCAGCGAGAGTGAGCTTGTGAGCATGAGCTTTGGTGGTTGTATCCATGAAGCCGATCTCAGAGCCTTTGTTTGTTTGTTTGTTTGTTTTTATCCTCACCCGGGGACATTCTTCCATATTTTGTTCAGACAGAGTGGGAGGGAGAGAGAGAGAGAGAAACATCCACGTGAAAGGGACACATCAAGTGGCTGCCACCCGCACGACCAACCAGAGCCGGGGACGAACTGCAGCCGAGGTATGCGACCTTAGTGGGAACCGAACCCCGGTCTCTTTGGACTGCAGGCCGACGCTCCAACTGCTGAGCCAAACCATCCAGGGCGAGCCTTTGTTGTCTATCTGATAGACCTGGTAGCTCCTACCAGTCAAGTTGCCATAGTGATTTTAATTTATGTATTTCAGGTACATGGCGAACACAGAGACATATCTAAAGAATGTAGCCTTAAAGCATATGCCTCCTAATTTACAGAAAGTGGACCTCTTGAGGGCAGGTAAGAAGAACATTCTCTTCAGTCATCCTGAGGGGCCATAGGTTACATCTCAAGTATCTTCAGGTGCTTTAAAATAAGATGTTTACCTTTATTCTGTTCTCTAAAACATGGACAAGTATGTAGATACCCTGGAAAGAAAAGAGAAGAAGGGTTTTGAGTTCAAACCAAAAAATCATGTAAAGTCCTTTAAAACAGGCGTAAGGGTAGCCATGTGTTCTTCAGGTTAGGTTGGAATTCTAATGACTGCCGTTATAAACGTAGACTCGCTCAGGCATGCAGCCCTTCATTCCTTCAGCAGTCCGCTGGTGATCTGTGGGCTTCTGCACGTCTCAGGGTCTCTGCTCTCAAAGATCTAGCAGTCTCTAACTCACAGGTGCCAGGCTGGGCAGGGGCTGTCCATCTACCAAGGAGGGTTTAAGTAGGAAGCGTCAGTGAGTCCTTGTTACCTATAGTAAAGGCTCCTAATCTTTTCGTTGTGAGGAGTTTCTCTCACTACAGAGAGAGGGAGCAGGATTGAGTTGGGGGGGAGGCAGCTGGGGGAAGTAAAGCATGGCCAACGCCTCCACCTCTCACCCTCTTCACAGAGTTGCCATAAAACTCTGCTCTGAGCCGAGGGGAGGGACGTATGGTAGTAATTCCTAGCCTTGGATCAACTAACTGAGGACCCCTAGCGTATAGGTTGAAGTCCACATCTCTTCATCTTTCACAGTTCGTCACATCTGAGAAGGACCTTGTCAGGCAAAATTGCCAGACCAAATCCAACAATAGTCCAGGGACTGGAATCCACCTTGCTGACAAACTGAGCTTAGTGTGCTGAAGCCACACGTTTAAGTACAGCTGAGTCCTGGGAGGTTATGTCCCACTCAGCCTGTGCTGGTTCACACTGACCCTGTGGCAGGTGGAAAAGCTAGAACCGGATAAGTGGAGACATAGTTCACCAGATGTCTTAGCTCAGGCTATGATAACAAAGTACCGCGGACTTGGGCTCAAAGCAGACACTTGTTTTCTCACAGATTTGGAGGCCGGAAGTCCATGATGAAGGTGCTGGCAGGGTTGGTTTCCTCTGAGCCTTCTGTCCTTGGCTTGCAGATGGTACTGTCTCTCTGCCTCTTCACATGGCTGCCCCTCTGTGCACATACACCCAGTGTCTCTTCTTATAAGGACACCAGTCAGATTAGATTAGGTCTCTCCCTAACAGGCTCATTTTAACTTAAATGCCTCTTTAAAGGCCCTGTACCAAACACATTTCCATTCTGAAGTACTGGGGATTACAGCTTCAGCATATGAATTTTGTGGGGGACAGTGTAGCCACTAACACCAGGAGCAAGCCAAGCCTATACAAGATTTGTGGAATTCTGAATTGGTCATTTTGGTGAATCTGCCTGAAGAAAACAGAAGGCCCAATCCATGCCCAGTTCAGCCAGTTTTGTCTGCACCTTGGAAGAACAGGATGGATGGAACAAGGACCACATCCCTAATCTTTACTTATTGCTGTTGCAACCAGTTGATTAAAGCAGCCATGGGACTGCTGATGGGCATGCGTCTGAATTCCTGGAACTGGATCTAAGCCCTTGTCCCAGCTTCTGCTTGATGCTGGTGGACACCTCCGAAAACACGTTGCTGCCCAGGATTCCTTACAAGGACTAGAGCTAGTCTTGGAATTGGAAGCTGGAGGGGTGGGGTGGGGTGGGGGTGCTGCTCTAGTGAAATTGGAGTCTTGCTTGGTGAGCCCAGATGCTGTGAGTTGCCCTCCAGCCTCTGGAGCACTGTAGACCCCGATGGCAGGGTGCAGGAAGGCATGTTGAAATCTAAGCTGGGTTTTTCTGTCATCAATAGCTTCCTGGTGGGGTCAACTGACGTTGAAGTTGGGGTGTCCATGGCAGGCCCAGAACCCTGGAGCAGCCAGAAGGACCCACCTTAGACCTTTGGAGCCAGTTATCCTGAACCCCTCCTATAAATGAGGGGATCAAGGGCAGCATGAAACCTGCGCTGGGTCTTAGAACAGTTATCCAGTAGGTTATGGACCCTGCAGCGGATGGGGTCTCCAGGTACAAACGGAGCACTAGGAAATGAGCTGTCGAGGAGCAGCCCGGCTTGGGCCACTCACTTACTTGAAATACAGGCTAGGGGCTGAAGATGGGGGTGGCAGCAGCTTCTTAACCTGTAATCAGCCAGTGAGGGAGACCACTCAGTCTAGCATTCAAGACTCACCACATGAACCAGTCTTCTAATATAGCAGGTCCCCGAATAACATTTCGTTCAATATCCTTTCTTTATAACGTGGATGAAATGCTATAGGAACCTTATTCTTGTTTATATCAATTAGCCTATGGTAAAATTGGTTTTGTTACACATTTCACTGAGCCACAGAACCTATCAATGGCATTAAGTGAGGACTTAACTATTCTCTCTCCTCCTACTCCTTTACACAGAAATATTTTCTAACTTGATTTGTATACTCTGTCCTCCCAAAAGGTCATACACATTTCTGCCATGGCCCTTGGCGTTACCTACCAGGCTTATGCTTCTCCTTTAAATCCTACTCTTTCCTTCAAAGTGCATGTTGACTTCTTTCTCCCCACATCATTGAGGGAATGTGCCACTCACATGAGGTTTCACCCAGTGCTGCCATTACCATCTTGTCCAGACCGTGTGTCGTGTGTGCTTGTACCCTCCCCTGGGTGTAGCAGAATTCCCTGCACGTCTGAAGTACTAATTATTTATTTGTTGAATGAGTGGTTTCTCTGTGGAATCATGAGGGGGAAGTTGCTCTTTCTGGAAGGAACCAGATCTCTTCAAAGCATCCTACCCCCAAAATGTGTTTACATCATGGGTCCCTTAGTGCTTGATACAGTTAATCACAGCAACTTTTCCAACCCTGATTATGTTAGCTGAGTGTTTTCTAATTACATTGTTGTTTTTCTGGCAGTTCCCAAACCGGATCTAGATTCGTATGTGTTTCTGAGAGTGAAAGAACGCCAAGAAAACATACTGGTAGAACCAGAAACAGATGAGCAGAGGTGAGTGATGTCTGTGATTTTGACAGTGGGAAGTATTTCTCCCAGCTGAGCCCTGCACATACATCTCTCCTCCTTTTCCAGGGACTACGTGATTGACTTGGAGGAAGGCTCGCAGCACTTGATCCGATATAAAACCATTGCACCTCTAGTTGCTTCTGGAGCCGTACAGCTAATCTAAAACCAAAAATAAATAAACAAGAATGAAGACATGGAACCTTAGAGAAAATATTGAGAAACCCCACATATCGCTTTGTGCCTAAGGACGACAGAGGCACTCGAGGCAGGATTGCTGACTTGTCAGGTATCCTAACTTCCTGCCGTTTTAGCTCGAATCGGCAGATGGAGCCAGCGCTCTGTTCAGTCTGTACTGGGCAAATACGTGACTTTCACTTTGCTCACCTTTTCCCTTTGTGGTCTTTTTTGAACTAAGGAAACTGAGGTAAAGGTAATTCATAAAAAGGCATCATTGCCTATGTTTAGGAGACTGTAGTTAGCACTGACCTGATAGTAGCAGGAGAATTCATTACCTTCCTGGTAGAAAGTGTAAATAGATGAAAGAAAACAGCTGTGGCCTTCTTCTCTGCTATGTCTCTAAATTGTATAAACCTTTGGAACCTCTAACATTGGACCTAAAACCATTTTCTGTCTTGATTAACTGAGAATCACAACTAAACTAATCAATCATCATAAAGTTTCAGTTTTGTGACAGAAGGAGCCTCGGGACAGTTCTCGGCGTGTAGCGTGACGCAGTATGTTCTTCCTGCTGCTGACCGGCAGCTCTCCCTGAATCTCGGCAGCTTCGCCAAGCCAGCCTCCGGGCCATCTGGTCCTCCTTGGCCACGGCTCTGTTAGCAGAGTGACACTAATGTTCTCCATTGTGACCGCAGAAGCAGACTTTCTTTTTTAAGCTCTTTACTTTCTCAAGGGAAGTGGATGAAATTAAACTAATGCGAATGGAGATTATCACCGTCATACCTGAAGAAGGGATGTGAACAGTGAATGAATCGTCTTTCCTTGAAACATGATAAAAAGCAGCCTACATTCCAGTCTTTTCTTGCTTAATGAAAAGGCAGGAGATTTTTATTTATGAGATATGTGCCGATAGAGTAATCAGTGTAATATTGCTATGATTTCCAAGAGAAACCACTAAGTGAAAGCAGGAAGGTTTAACTAATAAATGCATTTTAGCCCTGCTGAGTGGCTCAGTTGGTTGGAGCATCATCCCGTACTCCAGAAGGTTGCAGGTTCGATTCCCAGTATGTACCTAGGTTGTGGATTTGGTGCCAAATCAGGGCGCATATGTGAGGCAACCAATCGATGTTTCTCTCACATCAATATATCTCTCTCCCTCGCTCTAAAAATCAATGAAAACATATCCTCGGGTAAAGATTAAAAATAAAGTAGCCCTGGCCAGTTTGGCTCAGCGGTTAGAGCGTCGGCCTGCGGTCCGGAGAGACCCGGGTTCGGTTCCCGCTAAGGGCACGTACTTCGGTTGCAGTTTGTCCCCGGCCCTGGTTGGTCGTGCGGGTGGCAGCCACTCGATGTGTCCCTTCACGTCGATGTTTCTCTCTCTCTCTCCCTTCCTCTCTCTCCCTCCCACTCTATCTGTACAAAAAATGGAAAAATATCCTCGGGTGAGGATAAAAAAAAAAAATAAAGTAAAGCATTTTATATTTCATATAGTAGCCTATTTTTCCAGAGTGTTTTTACCTTCTCTAGCCATTTTAACAAGGGTGTTAAGTATTTAGTGTGACAAGCACAGTTCAAGCACTGAGGCTCCAGCCTAGAATAAGGCAGGAACTATCCCTGCTCACATGATGATAAATGCCTTGCAGAGAATTAGAACAGGGTGACTCACTGGAGAGTGACTAGATTGCGTGGTCAGAGAGGTTCTCACTGAATTCAGTGAATCTTGCTGTAGTAAGCTGAGATCTGAATAACCAAGAGGGAGCCGGACACACAGATTAAAAGGAATGCCATTCCAGGCAGAGAAGGCAGCTTGTGCAAAGGCCCTGAGGTAGAAACAGGCTATGCCTGCAGTGGCTACAACACAGTGTGCAACATGCATAATGGTGCAGGACAAGGCCTGAGAGGCAGGCTAAGCCCAGATCACTTACAGGTTTGTTAGCAGACATCCCATTTGGCCCTCACAGCTGTCCTGAGAAGTGGGCAGGACTGATAGTATGTAATAGGTGGGAAACAAAGCAGATGTTCAATGGTAAGTCTGAGACTAGAACCTAAGTGTCCTTCCTCCTCGTCATGAGTATGCACACTCACTCACCACTGCTTCCATTGTGCTAAGCAGCCAGGAGAAGAGCATGGGCTACTATGCTGTTATAAGTGCTTCCTAAGTCTTAATATACACACCAATTGCCTGGAGATCATGTTCAGGTGCAAATTCTGATTCAGGAGTTCTGGGGTGGGGCCCAGGGTTCTGAGGAGATCCTAGGCTGTGCAGGTGCTGCTGACACAGGGACCACACTTCAAGTGTCACCTACATTTTCATGTCTCCCACTCCTGTCTTGTGCACGCAAGGCTGCACGGAGGAGTGGAAGATCCTACTAAAGCTACAGAGTAAATTGCTTCATTTCCTAGTCACCTCTTCAAAGGAAGACTGGTTTTAAAATAAAGGAAGTTAAATTTCAAAACCAAGTAGAAAGGGAAATGATGTGGCTTCATGTGACGTTCATTGACTTTTTCAGTTTGTGGTGCTTTGCTTTATTGTTAAAAACTCATTACTGGAAGCATAACAAACATTTTTGTGAAATGATTGCATCATACTTGATTGTCATAAGCTTGTCACCAGCAAGATGGCTGTTCTGAGAAACGCTTGCAGGTTTTTCCAGCCACATCAATCAAGTATCAGCTGTGACCTTGCCAAAAGACCCCGCTTTGTACACTCAGTGCCCAGGGCCCAGCAGGCAACGGTTTAATGCCATCCTCATTTGCATCAAACTTCCTTCTGTGATGTACATGAGGTCAACCATAAAGCTTTGGAGTGAATTGTTAAGCAAGCACATTATTTTTCAATTCTTCATATAATTTTTTTTAAGTAATTATTATGGGAGGCTAAAAATCTCAAACATTTGGAATTCCTCAAGAATTTATTGTTTTTTTGGGGTGTGTGTGTGTGTGTGTGGTGGTGGTGGTGGTAAAATACACATAACAATTGCCATCTTAACCATTTTTAAATGTACAATTCAGTGTTATTAAATACATTCACCTGTGTAACCATTATCACCATCCATGTCCATAACTCTTTTCATCTTGTAAATCTTAAACTCTATCCCTATTAAACAATAACTCCCCATGATCCCCTCCCTACAGCTCCTGGAAACAGTCATTCTACTTTCTGTCTTTATAATTTTGACTACACCAAATGCCTCATATATGTAGTATTTCACTTTTTGTGACTGGTTTATTTCATTTAGCATAGTGTCCTCAAGGTCCATCCCTGTTGTAGCATATGTCAGAATTTCCTTTTTAAGGCTGAATAAATATTTCATCATATGTGCATACCACATTTGTGTATCCAGTCATCTGTCGACGGAAATGGATTGCTTCCACCTTTTGTCTATCGTGAGTAGTGCTGCTATAAACATGGGTATACAAATACTTTTTCAAAACTGTTTTTAATTGTATATGCCCAGAAGTGGAATTGCTGGATCATACGGTAATTCTAGTTTTAATTTTTTTGAGGAACTACCATACTGGTTTTCACAGCAGCTATATACCATTTTACATTCTCACCAACAGTACACACTGGTTCCAGTCTCTCGACTTCCTTGCCTACACTTGTTTTCTATTTTTTACAGTAGCCATCCTAATGGGTGTGCGGTGTTATCTTGTTGTAGTTTTAATATGCATTTCCCTAATGATTAGTGCTGTTGAGGATCTCTTCATGTGCTTGTTGGCTATTCCTGTATCTTTGGAGAAATGTCTATTCAAGATTTTGCCTATTTTTTAATTAGTTTTTTGTTCTTGAGTTTTAGAAGTTTTCTGTATATTCTGGATATTAATCCCTTATCAGATCAACAATTTGCAAATATTGTCTCCCACTTTTTTTGTTGTTTTGTTTTTTTAAATCTTTATTGTTGAATGTAGAATGTATTATGGATGTTCCACATTTTTCCCGCATTGACCCCCTCCTCCCCACTCCCGCCCCCCTCCCGCCTTTTCCCACACTATTGTTTGTGTCCATTGGCTATGCATATAAGTTCTTTGGTTTATTTCTTCCCACCCCCCAACCCCTTTCCCTTTGAGGTTTGTCAGTCTAGCAATGAATTTGTACTTCTTAATCCCTTCACCTTTTTCATCCATTCTCCCAACCCCCTCCCATCTGGCAACCAACAAAATGTTCTCTGTATCTATGAGAATGTTTCTGTTCTACCTGTTCATTTTGTTTGTAGATTCCATTGTTGATAGATATGTATTCATTGCCATTTTGTTTCTTCATATATTTTATCTTTTTCTTCAAAAAGACACTTCATCGCCCTGGCCGGTTTGGCTCAGCGGTTAGAGCGTCGGCCTGCGGTCCGGAGAGACCCGGGTTCGGTTCCCGCTAAGGGCACGTACTTCGGTTGCAGTTTGTCCCCGGCCCTGGTTGGTCGTGCGGGTAGCAGCCCCTCGATGTGTCTCTTCACATCGATGTTTCTCTCTCTCTCTCTCCCTTCCTCTCTCTCCCTCCCACTCTATCTGTACAAAAAATGGAAAAATATCCTCGGGTGAGGATAAAAAAAAAAAAAAGACACTTCATCATTTCATATAATAACGGTTTGGTGATGATGAACTCCTTTAACTTTTTCTTGTCTGGGAAAGTCTTTATATGGCCATCGATTCTAAATGACAGCTTTGCAGGATAGAGTAATCTTGGTTGTAGGTTCTTGCTTTTCATCACTCTGAATATTTCTTGCCACTCCCTTCTGGCCTGCAAAGTTTCTTTTGAGAAATCAGCTGACAGCCTTATGGGAACTCCCTTGTAGGTAACTAGCTGCCTTTCTCTTGCTGCTTTTAAGATTCTCTCTTTGTCTTGAACCTTTTGCATTTTGATGATGATGTGTCTTGGTGTGGGCCTCTTGGGGTTCATCTTGTTTGGGACTCTCTGTGCTTCCTGGATGTGTATGTCTGTTTCCTTCACCAAGTTAGGAAAGTTTTCTGCCATTATTGTTTCAAACAGGTTTTCGATTTCTTGTTCTTCTTCTCCTTTTGGCACCCCCAAGATGCGAATGTTGGCACGCTTGAAGTTGTCCCAGAGGCTCCTTACCCTCTCCTCATTTTTTTGGATTCTTTTTTCTTTTTGCTGTTCTGATTGGGTGTTTTTTGCTTCCTTATATTCCAAATCGATGGTTTGCTTCTTGGATTTACGTAGTCTAGTATTGAAGCTGTGTAAATTATTCTTTATTTCAGTTAATGCCTCCTTCAATTCTGACTGGTCCTTTTTTATGCTCTTGAGGCCCTCACTAAGTTCACTGAGGTTCGCACTGACTTCATTGAGTATCCTTATAAGCAGTATTTTGAACTCAGCATCTGTTAGATTGCTTATCTCCATTTCGCTTAGTTCTTTTCTTGGGGTTTTGTTCTGTTCT